TGGTATGATGATCTTCACTTGTACTCGACTCTTGAAGATGTAGCATTGCTATGTGCTGTTAAGGTTTCTATTTCACCCCAGAACAGGTTGTATGTCAGTATTGTTATATTCCCACTGTGAAAAAGTTAGTTAACAGTTAAAGGTTGTTCAAGTGCAAATCCTAACAAAATAATCTCTGAAAGGCAAGAAAGCTTCCAGTTCAACCAGCATTCCCACCTTCAACTTCCTTTCCCATACTTTCCCAGTCTGAATTTTGGGAAGTTTGGAGCTGGATCTAAATTGTGCAGCATGTACCCATTTATTATTTGGTTTGACGTAACCCTTATGTTTCAGGATAGCTAAGTTTACAGTTGACACAATGGTTTTCCACACTTCACTTTTTTTTGTGCTTATCATCTAATGTTGGGAATAAAGATAAAGTAATTTAATATTACAGTTGGTCACAAAACTAATGGTTCTAGTTCACAATAAGAATTTTAAATAGAAGAAGTCATTCACTCAATGTCTTATGGGATTATTGGAGGTTGCTTTTAGATACCTTTCCATGGCTGAGGAGAACTACACATTTCCACTGAAAATAGAGATGAGCCTGACCTATGAAATTGAGAGACTAAAGTGATTTGATATAAGAATTTAACTAGGATTGATCTGAATCCAAATATTCCAGGTTTCAGATGGCTTTTGGATCTAGGAGTTTGATTCATGTACATCTCCTACTAAAACAGAAAATGTAGTTTTAAAGAACAAAAGTGGTTGCAGGGCAGGGAAGAAATGGGGCATTTTAAAAAAACAGTAGATAGTTGATGATGATCTTTTAATTGCCTTTTTTTAAAATGACTGCCCTGTCCTAGAAACGCATTTAGAATTTTTTTTGCAAGAATTCTAGTCCAAGACTCTTTTTTAAATTTTAGTTGGAAACAATAATAAGCACATTTAGGAAGAAGACTGACTTCTAAAGAATTCATGTGGGAGAAATTATTGTAAATACGTCTCTAGCATAACTTCTTTCTCCCTCAGTTTTTTTTAAGTTCGTGTAATATTTCTTCATTGAGTACAACCAGTTGCTTTAACTTGAAAATACTGTACTGTCTTGAGCAGTTTATTCACGCTGACCGTTTTATAGTCATATTCCTAGATTAAGGCCAGAAGGGACCGTTGTGATCATCTAGTCTGACTTCCTGCATAACACAGGCCATAGAGCTTCCTCAAATCAATTCCTGTTTAAACTGCAGTATGTCTGTTGGAAAACATCCAATCTTGATTTAAACCCCCCCCCTTTTTGTTAAATATATAGCTACTTTTACTTTCCCCCCATCCCCCCCTTATCCAACTTGTTTTTTTAAGCAGTGTAGCCTTCTCTCTTGACAGTGAGATCATGGCTTTTTGTGCATTTAGTAAAATCTAATAGTTCCCAATTATTATTCATACATCTCTACCTCGATATAACGCTACCCGATATAACACGAATTCAGATATAACACGGTAAAGCAGTGCTCCAGGGGGGCAGGGCTGCGCACTCTGGCGGATCAAAGCAAGTTCGATATAACACGGTTTCACCTATAACGCAGTAAGATTTTTTTGGCTCCCAAGGACAGCGTTATATGGAGGTAGAGGTGTATTTTCCTTTTCAAATTCTTTCTCCCAGCTGATTTGGCTCATAATTATTTTCAGCTTTGTGAAACTGGCCCTTTTAAAACGTCAGGTGTGTGTGTGTGTGTGTGTGTGTGTGTGTGTGTGTGTGTGTGTGTATAATATCTCTCTCTCACACACACACACACTTTCCTCATATTGGATTGGAGTTAGGAATTGTCATCTGTAACATTTAGGAATTCTGAATGTTTTTTAGTGCTGGCAGCATGAGACCTCCAGAATGTCACTCAGATTGCAGTCCCCTATGATAGTGCAGTTTTTTTCTCCTACTTAACCTCATCCAGGTTTGGGATGGGTTTTTTTTTTTTTTTTTGTGGTCTATGGGAGACACTAATTAGTACCCCCATTTTGTGCTTTATTTGTTAAGACCTTGATCCATAAGCACCCAAGATCACTTATTTCTGAGTGGTCAGTGACTCAGAAAAAAGGTAAGGTAATTTTTGACATAGAGTGCTACTCCCTTTCCCCTCTTGCCCACTCAATCCCCCCTAAATAGCTTATAACCACTGATTTTTAACACTCCAATCATATCAATTTTCCTACCAGGTTTCAATAATACCAACTTGGTGAAATTTAAGCTCATAAATGACCAATTTCAATTCCTTTTATTACCCAGGCTCCTGGCGTTCATGTATAAGCAACTAAAGAACTTCTCTTCAGATCCCTTGATTAATTTTGTTCTCAATGGCTTGATTTTGTACTAAATGTGTTCATTTGTTCCCCCTTTTCACTCTTTCTTTTTGTTATTTTAATGCCCCCCTAAGTAGTCTAACCAGCCTATCACCTAGAAAATAGGTCCCCCTTCTGCTGAGATGGAGGTCCTCCAAATTGTATAGCCCAGCGATTCTCAAACATTAGCAACCCGAGGACCCCCATTTTGATTTTAAAATTTTCACGGATCCCCAAGCCTGGTGCTCAGCCACAGGCCCTGCCCCCACTCCACCCCCTCACCCAAGCGTGCCCCTTCCCTGCTCCTCCCCCTCTCTCCCAGCGCCTCCTGCATGCCACTGAACAGCTATTCCGCTGTTGATCAGCGGTGTCAGTGGCCCTGGACATGACTCGCTGCCCCCCCGGAGTACCCTTGTGGACCCCCAGAGGGGTCCACATACCCCAGTTTGAGAAACCCTGGTATAGCCCCTTCTCTCCATAAAAAAGGCCAGTGTTTCATAAAACCAAACCCTTTATCTTATACCACTTATCTAGCCAGCAGTTCGTTTCCAGATATGTGTCAAAACAGCACTTAAGTGTTGATTTATAGGCAGATCTCATAGCGCAGATCCCAGTATAGTTCTTGTAATAATATACACAGGACATTCATTTGGCAGAAACTTTGTCAGCAGAATATCAGTGGGGCAGGGTTAGGCCCAGCATGATTTCCCCTTCCTCTGGGGGCAACAGATGTGAAACAGTCCCCATGACCCCCTCCCCCAGCCACATGGGCTGAGGAAGGATGAACAGCACTCCTGGATGCAGTCAGTCCTACAGCCCTACCCAGGCAGAGCAAGGAACTAGTCCACATTTCAAGCGGGACCCCAGACTCTGCTTTCAGTTTGAGCTACTGTATGGATGTTCTTTCTTTGCTCTCTGGCTGTTTAGTTCTGACTTCCCCTCCCATCTTCCCCCTACAGTCCCTTTGCTTCTAGCTTAATTCCTCCTGCCTTCCTTGCTCCTATCCATCCTTTCTTCTTTCCCTCCCTCCTCTTCAGTGTGTCCCATCCGTTCCATCATTTTCATATACCAATCATAAATTGACATAGCTTCCCAGCTCCCAGCAGGGAGTGAGTGGCATCGCCTGGGCTTCTCGCCATGGCTCCTGGCCAGGAAAGCGGGGGAGGCATTCTCCAGGAGAGTGAGGGGCAGCTGCAGGGCCGGTGGAAGGATGTTTCGTGCCCTAGGCGAAACTTCAACCTTGCGCCCACCCCGTCCCCGAGCCCCCGCCCTGAGGCGCCCCTCCCCGCGGCAGCTCCCCCCCCCCGACCCAGCTCACCCCTGCCCTGCCTCCTCCCCGAGCACGCCGTCGCTGCTTCACTTCTCCCGCCTCCCAGGCTTG